TAAGTCCAAGTTTTTGAAGCAGCTCAGTGTGCCTGTGGCTGTGGGTGTGGATATGGTTGTAGGAGCGTGTGAGTATGGACGAGTTTGGATGAAGAAAAGAGCCAGACGCACATTCAAAGCCAAAGTCACAATCCACTCTCACATCCACATACTGCAGTGAATGACACTGCAAAAATGAATGTTCGTCATTTTGACTGTGATACATAACAGTTAGTGTTTGATTAGGTCGTATTACATGTTCTATACTGTTGTTAAAAATTTTATGAAAAAATTACTTCAAGACAAATATTCAATTTTACATTGATTTGCAGTCATTTGTCCATGTTCTTGTTTTGAAAATTGTTTTCTTCATTCTATAGCTTCTCCTGATCAGACCAGTGTTCCTTTTATAGTCATGAATGGTAAACATCCAACAATATGACCGATTCGATCATTTATTTGAATTCTTGTCTTTCCATATTCGTTGCTTAAACTTCTTTTAATTTTATCTTGAGTTTGATCTATATTTACAGATGATTCATGATATAGAAATTTTAATTGAGTTTTCGTATTACTAGTTGAAAAAAATGTTCTGTTTCTGGATATGATTCACTAAGCGACCAAGACAATGTTATTATTCCATCAACAAGAGTAGTTGATGACTATTTCATCAAATACAGGAATCATAATAAGTATCTGAGAAAATAATTTTCCGTGATCAATAATTTAAAAAGGTATATTGGCAATTAGTAAACTGACGGTCAGTTGATATTCAATCCTTATGAACCTATAAAAACAGCAGTTTTATTAGATTTTATTCCAAATATTGACGAAGACAGACACTTAGGTTAACACATTCGCCACGATATGGCCCACCGGTGGATTATGCTATATTTTAACGAGAGACTGTATAGAAAAAAGCACTTTCTTTTGCTTTTTTCTTAGGCAGGAGGTTAAACATAATGTGTCATCTGTTCTGCCTTCAGTACCTTTTTTGAATCCTTTATTCCGTAGCATGATGCTTCTTGTTAAAACAATTAAGACAAAATAATTTATCATAGTCAAAACAGAAGGTTATTACTTTCTTTGCCGCCGCATAGTCCACTTCTCTTGACTGTTTTGCCCTTCCATTCGCATAGTAGCCAGTGCAGCGTCTACCGACATTGCGCTTAGATCCTTCCTTTTCTTCGAGCTTGTGATCAGCGAGTTTGCGCTTCGAACGACTTGCTGATTGTTGTCTCGGACCATGTTTCAGCTTCTCGAATGACCTATCAAGGAGTAAAGATCGTACAAGACTTTCACGAAACTGCAGAATGGTCATGTCGCTTGCGACATAATTTCCCTTGTAAATCAGATAACTATTAACTACTGCAGTTCCAAATATCAATTCAAATGCCACCTTTTTATACCATTTTATTGACCGTCTGAGACATGTATAGTATGTTGATAGTTGATTTGATAAATCACTACCTTGTCTCTCTTCGTCGTAATCGAGAACAACTTGTGACTTCATGATGCGTTCATTTAGTTTATTGGCTTTTCTGGTGTCTCCACCACAGTTGTTAAATGAGATGGTTTTGTAGATATCATCAAAACGTCTCTTTTATCTTTCCACTTGATCGATTTTATGCCGTTTTTACTCTGGAGCCCATAAACTTCACCACGCTTGAGCTTTTTCTGAACAATTTTATGTCTTGATCCAGCACGATTACTTCTCAATGTTCCAACAAACGTTTCGCAAGAGAAATATTGGTAAAGAAGTTGTCAGCTACTAAGGTTCGACCTCACCCAACAAGACCACCCGATCAATTCATTACGATCGTTTGAGCATGTAAAAGACTAGCCGTTGGATCTTGCTCACCAGTATAGATCACATAATTCAAGGTGCATCAATTGGTAGCCGCTAACTTGTACATCTTTACGCCGTACTTGTGCGCTTTTCCAGGAATATATTGTTTGAAGAAAAGTCTGCTTCGCCATGGTGCCATAGTTTCGTCGATAGTAATAACTGAGCCAGACATATATATACTGACGAAAATCTGGCTTTCAGTAAATCCAAGAGTGGTTTCAACTTGAACAACCTATCCTAGTTCGAACTTTTATTATCATTTTTTGAAAAATGCCGAAATTTGAGGAGTAATGCAAACTTCTCTCTCGAAATAGCACTTTAAATGATCTCGAACTCATACAATTGACTGCTGCTCCATTAGTGGCTCAGTTTCGACGTTTGTACCAACTCCATCTTGATAATGATTCCAAAGAACTTGAGCATCTCTTCATCAGTGATTGATTTTCATTGATGAAATTTTGACCGTCTGCTAATCTGATGGGTTTGCAAGTACTGTTCCGCGTATCGATTAGTTTCACGAATCATAAGGCCAATAATTTCGTTCATGATGAAATGCCGATAGCAATCGATAGAATCGATTGTATTATCTTTTGAAGCAGAAGTTACTTCTTCGACGAGTCCCTGATCCTCCAGAATTCTGCATCCGATTCTGATTGTATTACATTTCAGGCATGTGAATCCACTTCATCATCAGTAACTTCTTCGTCGGAAATTTCAGGTTCAAGGTTCATTCTATCAAAAACATCATCCAAAGAGCTCACTTCACTGAGTGAGGTAGTGCTGTCTTCTGTGTCGGTTTCTTCAAACGACATGTAAACTATTCCAAAATTTCGGCTACTTTTATACATAAAAGTACAGAGAGACAAGAACAAGGAAGAAAAACTGGAAATTTCCTTCTCTTATCTTACGTGTACTATATATAAGATGTAAAAGAACGAAAAACTAACTTGAGGGATTTTTCATATGATCATAAAAAAAATGATACATAGAAGAGAACGATGGATAATCGGTAGAAGATAATGAAAAGGTCACAAAGTGCATTTATTATAAGTTAACCCTCGACAGAAATGAATATCTCAAAAAAATTTTCTAAGAAAACTGAATCATTGCGAATGTGTTAAAATATAGTAACATAAAATAAATTGAATTTATGGACGATTTTGTGTGCCGTAGCAGGACGTCCATAAAGAGCGTCCAGATATAGGGTGACGGTGCGTTAAAATATTTTCGTTTTTTTCATACAACTTACAGCGGAATTTTGAAGCTTTGTTTGTTTTTAACAGTATTTTTAAATAGTAAATGCACTGAATGAATGAACCGAATATGAACATGGTATTGAAATAATTGAAGATTATTCTACATGAGCAGATAGTTATTTTCTCGTGTAGTAATATGAACGTTGTTCAGGTTTCGAGTGCTATTTGTATCAAACTTCAGTTTTTCTTTTTACTATTTTCTGCTCATTAAAATAGAATGTATTTAAAAAACAAAGGCTTTGCAATAGGTTATACGTGTATTTTTAATGAAATGTTATTTAAGAAAAAAGAAGCAATATATCTGAACAAGTAGGCTCTTTATAGAACGTTACTTTTTTTTTTACACTGAACGTTAAAGAGGGGACGGGGCGGAGGAAGTCAATGAAACTGGACCGGTCTGGGTAGAGGGATCAAAAATGAGATTTTTGCCAGAACGTCCTCTATGGATGATGCCTAGAGGTTATTGACATCATGTTTTGTAATCTTTTTAGTTCTGATAAAAAAAGATTTACCCATTAGATTCAATATTTTCATCATCATTATTTTTTTATGTTTCTAATTCAATTTTCTTCTACTTGAAACTCCATTATATATTTTGTTGAACATGTTCGCATACATCGTTAAAACTTAGGATGAACTCATGTGTGTCTATTTGTTTTCAAAGGTTTGTTTGATTGAATTGTACATGTATTTTATATTCACAAAATAGTCCACATACACCAATAAATAAAGTATTATGACAGCATTTTTTTTATTTGAATATACCGTTAGGCATGACTGTTGGGATTAGAAGGAAAATCTTCATCTACATAATATGACTGTAGAATAATACAACAATGGCTAAATTACAGAATAATAAGACAATGATGATCGGCATATTCGATCATTGACCAAGAGGCGTTGTTTGAGGAAAAACGTAAATATCAATAGGAAATACTTCCAATTATTTTGCGTCGTTAACTACTTATTGTATAGTTTTTATTTCATTTTTTTTTATGAATGACCGAATGATTATATATGCTATATATGTGAGTATTTTTACTGAATAATATGTGAGCGTACCTGTACTTGTAGAAGCAAATGGGGACATATGGTTAATGCTAAACTATGGTTTCATAATTCATTTTGTATAAAAATATTCACTTTTTCATTCTACGCGTTCTAAGCTGTGTTACAGGTTTTTGTTAAAAACCTATCGTAGCAACTAAATTCGGTGTCAGATTAAATTTGAATTATTTTTTTTTTCTCCTGATAATTCGGCAACTATAAATTTTAGCACAGTTTGAAGCGTAGACGACGAAAATCGTAATCTATGTTTTAATATTCAAAGGGTTTTCTTAAAATAGAAAGGCATTTGAAGCAAATTCGATTTAATGAATTTACAAAATGTCGCCGATTCTTTGAATAGGAATCAGGGTCTCTGATATGGCGTAAACTTCTTACACGATGTTTCAAGGTTTCATTCTTTATTGTGTATCGAATTCAATCGGTTTTTGATCAAAGAAGTCGACTGCTTTCCACAATATGGCAGAAGACAAGGACTAAATTCAATTTAAAACAAGTTCTGACCTTCAAAAAGTTCAGATTTCGAAGCTAGTACGATGACTAAAGGGTTCATTTTTTTGTTTAAATTGAACATTATTTGACTATGCATATTGAGGCACAATTAACTGCGTACAATACAGTGGAAAAATCACCGAGGAGGGAAGTCCAGGGGGAAGTGAATCCTACCACTGAGAGACCAAACAAAGTCACTTTGAACCTCCGTCTGTTCAATTCCCAGCTCTGCCAATAATCAATATCTGATATTTTCTATTTTATGTCCTTTTATTGTGGCTTACAGTGCCAACAGCTTTTTTTTCAAAATGATCTTCCTATTCACAGACTTTATTTGGTCTTTGCTTTCTACCGATGATTTAGCATAACGATAAATAAATCAAATATTTTCCTGTGACATTATCTTGTTCGATGTTGTCTACGAAAAAGTTTCTGCTTGCCCGGATAAGTACCTCTTCTTCATCTGGATAAAGAGATAACGACGATATGTCCATGCCGGAATATCGATATTTGGCCGATTTAGCAAGACTAATAATAAATAGCGTGTTACCAAATGTTTCAGCTTTCTTTCGATTCTTGCTAGTCGATGAGAAAGCATCCCAAGTTTTAACGAGACCAATAGCTTGTCTGTATGATTCAATAGTATCTTTGTCGAGTTGAGCACCGCGATAAAGTTTACCAGCATAGCCTAGACTGAGAAATGTTGACGAACAATCACAATGAAAAAGTAGCCAACAGAATGCACCAAGATTGTACAATTTCGATAAGTCATTCTCGCGCAATGTTGCATTCACTAGGCGATAAAGAAAACTCTCACGAGTATAGATCGAAACGACACGCTTTTCGATTTCTTCGTTCGATTTGTTCTTAAGTAATAGAAGTTCGTCGGCTATCCATTTAGCTTCAATTGGTTCACACAATTGAATGCCTTCTTTGATAATACCATCTGCTGCTTGTTCTAATAATTCATTCATTGATAGACCTCGATTTTGTCTCTGCCATTCGTTGATGAATCGACGATCATTCGATTTCCAATCACTGAACGATTTGACGAGTTTTTGAGGTATATAGAAACGTTCTGGACGAAGACCAATATAGTCGGACGAAAGACCAACACACCGTTTGACTGGCATTCGAAAAGAAGAGTCTTCTTTATTGATTCGAACATTTTCCTCCAAATTGACTAAGCAACGATCGAGTTGCACTTGCTGCTCGTGATTCATAAAGGCTTTTTCAATAATTTCTTTTTCAATGTCACCAAATGGTAACCAAGAAGAATCGGACGCATTTTCAATTTTATAGAACCATGTGACTCGTTCGTTTGTTGAAACATTGGATTTAGCAACAGTCGTAGTTGATAATGATCGATAGTGAGCAACGAACTTGGTTGAATTTTGTTTCAAACATTTTTTCTCCATCGCAGAATGATTACAAGTAACTTTTTCTTATGCAGTATCGGTCCACGTGAGAGACGACAAAAACAAATTGCGAGTTGAGCTCGCCATAATAATTTTCTTTTCTTCAACTGGCAACGAATCAGAATATTTTCTTCCGTGTTTTACACTGTTGAGAAAGAAACCCTTTCAAGGTCGAGCAGGAAAGAACGTAAATGTTTATGAATACTGAGTAGAGTTTTGTGTTTTTAAGATGTTTCTCATATGTGAGAAAATCACTAGAATATTATTGTCTATCAAATCAGACTAGTCCTAGTCTATCTGTTCCAATTCTGAAATTAATTTTTTTTTTCGATTAAGTCGACTTTTCTTTCTTTAATTTGTGAGCTAAGCATTTATTAAATAGATTTGAATAGAGTGTGCGGATGTGAGTGTGAACGAATACAGATAATAAGATCACTCGCATCCTCATTTCTAATTAGATGCTCCTTTAATGAATTTTTTACACCAGTTTGTAAGACTGTAACAACTTGTTGTTCAGTAATGAATTGTCGAGCTTGTCTATATTTTCGAATAACATTTTCATAAAATGATGTAACCGATTGATTTTCTTCTTGATGAATGTGAAAAATTCTTGCATTAATTGACTGTCAGATGTAAATTCTTTGAATCGATCTCGTAATGGTTTTTCAGCATCGTTCCAATTAGTGAATGATCTTAAATTTTCTTGATACCATCGTAATGCTGATCCTGTTAATTTGCCCATTGTTTCGAGAATTGTCGTTTCATCTTTGAATTTCATTATTGAAAATAAATTGTTCAAGTCAACTAACCATTCATCGATATCAGTTTCATTAGATTCTCCTAAGAATTCAGTTATTTTCTTTATTGCTTCTTTTTGGCTTGAATGAAGTTGTTGAGTTTCCATTGAATTACTTTCCATTTCTTGCATAAATAACATGTTGTTTGTTTTTCTATTTCGAATTCTTGTCAGTGAATTTGTAATTATTTCGTATGAAAATCGATTAACACCACTTTGTTTGACCGCGTTTCTTGTGCCGGTTGCCATTGTGAAGATGTACTTTGTGTGATGAATATGTTCGTAATTAATTCATACAATTTTAATCTCTCTTTCCGTTAAGAATGAGTTCAATAAGTTGTAAATTACTTCTTCTTCGATGAAGTAATTAGAAGAAGACCGGTCACGACCCCAAATGTTAGCTCGTATCCGACGAGCTTTAACTTCGTTTATTTTATTTATTGTAAAAGGTCCTTAAATCACCGTGCATATATATAACATAAGAGAGAGGAAAGAAGAAAAGAAATAACATTAACAATAACGGTGACTAAAGAAGAAAGAGAGAGAGAGAGAGAGATCTAGGGCAGGATTAGAGATCAATCACCGCTAACAGTCTCGAATTGATTCAATTTCACTTTGAAAGTTTGAATCGGTCTAGAGATACTAAGCCACCTGATGAGACTGATTGAGTATCAGTCGAAACGCGTCGTGGTAGCTTCTACACACCTATACCCACGCCCGCCCATACTTATCCACACCCTAAATGAGAGGCTCTTTTGAAAGAAAAACACAAGCAGCCTTCTAGTAGAATGACGGAACAAATAGCGTCATGCTGTTTGAGCGACATTTTTAAACTTATCTAAAAGTTTGTTAAAAATCTTCTGGCCATTTTCGATCATCATCTGGGTTGAGTGATTGGAAATATCTATCACAAAATGCATCTTCACTTTGTGTGTCTGATGAAAATGCTCGTTTCCATGTTTAACCGATACCCTTCTTACGTGAATCCTCGGTTAATTCGTGAAAAAAGTCTTTCGCATCGATCCACTTGATTAGTTGTTTTCTTCTCTGCTCGTCGGAGGTATTTGGGGGCAGCTCGTCCAATTTTTATAATCGCCTATCTACTAACCATTCATTTATGTACCATTTTTTATCTCCCTCATCTTTGAACTTTTTCATTGGTTGCTGATCTCGTTTTTCGTTTTTGGTTAACTGTTTCGATTTGACAAAATTTTCCAACACGTTCATCACAGCTTTGTCGTCACAACCGAATATTGTTAGATTAATCCCCTTGTTTTTCCAAATATTTTCGCCCTTCCTCTAGATTGTCACGTGCTGATGCTACCACCGAATTCGGCTGCCGTTAACTTGTGGGGCGAATATAAACGTTTCGCATGTCGATCGATTTCGTTAATAAACCATATGCGAAATGTTAGCTCATCGGTTGGGGGTTCGTGTAAAAAACCATCCTTAGGTTGGTCATTATATTTCGCCATCATTTTTTGTCAAAGATCTTATATTGCCTATGATTGGTTCATTACAGTACCAGTTAACATTTCACACAGAAAATCTGCATTGAACAGAAGCCAATTTTCCCACTCACGCGCATCCCAACAGTGATAACAAATGTTGACGTTGCTATATTCCTTTTCTAGTTTTTGATATGCTTTTTCTTCTTTTTTCAATGTACTTTCATCATCATGAAGTGACCGCAAGTCCGCATCAAGCAGTAGAAAAATGTGGAGTTTCACACCATCCGGTTGAAATCGACCGCCTGTATGTTTGTATGCGCCACCTTTTTCCATAACTGTTAGCGGTATATGCATTAAATTTGGATTATTTCGACGTATAATTCCACGAAGAAATTCATGATCATTTCGATTTTCTACGAGCAATAGCTTTCGTTGTACGCCTAAATGAACAATTTCACCGTGGTCCAATACACCGAGACCCATCGATTCCATTACATTTAACAGTTGCCCTGCGCATTCCAAGGATTTGACTTCGAATGCATACTCGGAATTCGTCGTTGGAAAAATTCGTCGAATTTCGACAAGTTTTACTTGCTACATAATATCGATTGAATGTGTTGTAATCACTATTTGTCAAAAGTGTTGTGATTGACGATATTCATTTAATTTGCGATGAAGAATGTTAACTAAAATTTTTTGTACATTCGAAAATAGTTGTGCATCTGGTTCATCAACGATGATTATACTATGGGGCCGAGCACAGCACTGGAGAATTAACAATTGAAAACACTGAAATTCATCTTCACTCATTACTTTTAAAGATCCGCTTATCCTACCGCGTGGGAGTCTAGTGACATGAATATCGCACTCTTTTTTATTAAGTCCTGAGTAGAATGTTCTAAGAAAATCTTTGTCGGATTCGAAGTGACCCCAACCAAAATGAAATTCTGGAAATAGACATTGCATTTCTTTGGATATCTCGTCTATTTTTGTTGAAACGACTGGATCATTCAGCAATAAATTCTTTATGGTATCGTCAAACACTTTCCGACTATTGAATACTTCCACGTCGGGAAATAAATCAGCAAGCTGGTCGTAATGATGGCGTGGGTGTGGATGTGAGGTGTGGAAGTGTGGGTGTGGATGTGGGTGTTGGTGTCGGTGTCAATAAGGAGCAGAAATACCCACACCCCCACCCCACACACCCACATCCTTTCCAAAAGATGCACCGTTGAATTCTTTACAAAAACTATATTACAAGATTCTTCTGACTTGTATTCATGGACTTTTAGAAAATTAAAAAGAAACTATGAATGAAATGTTGCTATGTGCCATTAAATCAGAAGTAAAAAATATTGAATCTTTTTAAAAAGATTCGTCGTGAAATTCTCTAGAGTAGTTTAAATAAAAGATTCTCTCTACTGATGCTAATTGCTTTAGAGAGAGTAACGAGATGCTCTAATGCCTCACTCATCAGAATTCATTATCTTTCTGTATCTAAACAATAATTGTAATTTTTAGGCATCAAGAAGATCATTTTATTCATAGTACACTATACAGCAATGAGTTTTGCTAGAATAGACTTGATTCAGATACTACACTTATATTTTCCAAAGAGTCTACGTTATTGTTAGAGTGACAAATTAGAGCATCTTTTAGCTCACTCTAAATCCATTATCACAAGCTGAGAGAATCTTTTACTTTAACTATTGTAGAGAATTTCACGATGTCTCTTTTAGAAAAAGATACAAATTTTTATGATTTATCTTTGCAAAATATCCGATGCTGCAATTATTATGCCTTATCCGAGTTTATGCCATTTTTACTATTCCTTGAATTTTCCAAGCTGTTTTCAATAATTGTCAGCTTGAATCTGTTACTATAATGTTGCTTGTAAACAAAGGTCTTAGATTGAACGTTGTGATTATTCTAATTAAATTATCAGCATGTTACTTGCTATTTACTCATTCGATGTATTTCTGTTGTTCCAAGACGAAGTACCTTAATGGAAACAAAACTTGAATATGAGAAATGAACATTGTAACACATCACTCTTTCTCTCATCTTACTGCTCCATGGAAAGAAAATAGTAGCGTTGGTTTGACAGGGTACACTAGTTGCCTATATTTTGTGATAACCAATGAATGTTTATTTTCAAAATAGTTGTATTCTAATATCTGTTATATATGTGTCATTGAGTTTATCGTTGGGAGAATAGGATAATCTCGCCAAGAGATAATTGATTAGGTAAATTAAATTTATAAAAGATATTTAATTTTGTGTCATCAGCATCAAAGATAAAACAAGCAAAAACTCTGCATCATCATTTATTAAACAATATAGTTGTTGCCTTAAGAATCAATTTACTTTTGCAAAACGCCCATCAATACAATTATTACTGTTTCAACGTTCGTACTCTAGATATCTACAATGACTTCCAGCCGTCTTTAATTGAGAGTGCAGTGAAATTCTGCCATCATCATTGCCATGTCTTCTTTATTTATGATATTTTGCCCTGAACTAATCTGCTTTACTTTTTATTGAATAACCTGGATACTGACATAGCGTTTTTTAATATAGCGGCGCATTTTTTACTTCATCTTTAATAGGTTAAAAAGCCATAAACATAGAAAAAGAGCAGATATACATAAAAACTAAAGATCATTATCACTGAAGAGCAAATTAGAAGATTAATTAATATAAGAAGCCATCCAATGCATCTTTGCTTTTTACCATCGGAGAAATTATCTTTTGGTCAATTTTTCTCTAGTGAGTAAGCCTCCAATAAGTCCACTGAAAATGTTTACATGCACGAAAGTTAATCGAAATACTTTTTTTTATTAATTGTACTGTTTATTATATTTGAATAGTGTTTTAATTTAGCTTGAAACAATAGATCAAACACAGTTCAACCGATATTCCAGGTATATTTTTTATTCATTACGACACAATATATGACAAAGAAAACTAATTATGGAAATTCTTTTTTCTATGGCCTACAGGATTAGTAAACTGTTCTTCTTAAGAAATGTTCGTTATTGAAAGAATATATCTCACATGCATGGTTTACTCGTAAAGATACGAAACATTATTCAAGCATAAATAAAGTACAGTATAGATTTATTACATTTTCAGGAAGTATTGAAAAAAGTGTAGATTAAAAAAAATTGATTTTCGTAATTAATAATCACTAGGAGATGCTATGCCGTATAGAAATGAACCCGTTTTGCGTGAGATTATGAGAAATTAGCAAAGGTTTTATTATTAATATAAATATATTATACATGCTCAACATGTGCCAAGATTTCTTTTAATGAATTTTTAATCTTAACATTCTCATGATATGTTCATAGTTGCAAGAGATACTTGCAAATTTACGATATGAATTTTTTAAAAAATCCTTGAACAACTAACTTGATGCATGTCTAACTGTTTATTATTATTTTTTAATTAGAGTGTATTTGTGCTTGATTAGTTGTTAAACAACCGGCAAGCACCGTTTTTGATGATTTTGTAAGCTTTCACATTATTTTTTATATGAACTTCTATTATTTATACTATCGAGTATAAAAGAAAGGCACTATAAAATTTCGACTTTGAGCAAAATAGATTTTCAACTAAACCTCTCTTACAAAGTTAGATAAAATCCTTTTTTCATTGTTGCAAGAACGAACATGTTATAATGATTTAGATGAAAATTTTAAAATTGTTATTCATATTTATTTCAGATGATGCCTGTCAATAATAGTTTTGATGATGATGATAAAATTACATTTCAAGAATCTGAGGTGCCTATATCTCGTCCGATTCGATTTTGGCTTCTATTACTATTAGATATTCCATCGATAGCATTTTCTTGCATTCTGCTCTTTCATCTTCTCATTAATAAAATGTTACGATGTCAATTAAAAAATCATGTTATGATAGTTTTATTGATCATTGGATTAATTATAGAATTACTGGATATTCCACTGCATCTTAGTTTTTTACATCTCGGTAATGTTCAACCATCAATCCCATTTATATGTCTTATTTGGTGGTTTATGGATATAGGTCTATATAATGGATGTACTATAATTATGGCATGGTGTTCTGTTCATCTTTATTTATTAATATTTCATGATGGAATGTTTGCTAATAGAAACAGACGTTTACTTTTTCATTATTTACCGATAGTCATGTTGCTTTTCTATATATTAGTCTTCTACATAGTAGCAATAATCTTTCCACCATGTATGAATACATATGATTATACATTACCTGTTTGTAATGATTTTCCATGTTATTTGGGCGATAGTTATCTTGGTATATGGGATTCGGTTGTAAATAGTATTCTACCAACATGTGTTATTAGCATTTCTACTGTCATTCTTTTTATTGATATTCATTATTATAAACGACGTGCTCACCAACCAATCCGCTGGCGTAAACAACGTAAAATGATAATTTACCTACTTTTTAAATCTACTCTATATCTTATTCCAAATATTCCATTGAACATATTAATTTTCTCTCATATTTGTGGTCTATCAGAAAGTATAGGCGCTAAAACTCAACTATATTTCGATTTTTTATGTTATTTCGTTATACTATTATATCCATTTTTATGTCTTGGTTCCTTATCAAAAATCCGCAAGAAAGTAAAGTGGCCAGGCTTATTTTTATTGAAACAAACTCGGCAACTAGCCATTGTCAATCCTCAATAAACAAATATACAATAATAGTTTGCTGTATATTGCACTAAATGTTTGCTTTAGATATTGTTGCTGATTTTCTCACGACAAAAAAAAACATGATTTATGTTGTATTCAGTGTTGTTTTCATTTCAAATGAAATTGAATAAAATTGATAAAAATTAATTTAAAGCCCGTTACCGGCCATGGATTTCATAATGCAATTACACGGTGTATCGAGAGTGAAACATCATAATATCACTGAAGTATTCAAATAAGATATATTCATTTCTACATTCCAAATATCAGTGCCAGTAGTAATCAGCTTGATCCTTTGGAATGAAGTGCATATTTTTATACTTGAAGAATTTAAGTTGCTTTGGTGTAGTATCCTAAGCATCATTACTTGAGGGTGTGGGTGTCGATGAAGGTAGAACATCCACACTCACACTGTTTTTCTTTTGTTTGCTTTAATTTGAAAAATATTATATTTTGATTTCGTTTTGTTTTTATTAAAAAAAAAACTTTTCAGTAAATCATAAAATTAATTACTTATGTAAAATCTCTCAGCAAGGCATTGAAATACAATATTAGAAATATTTGTTGTAGGCAAAATTGAGATTCAAGCAAACTTAAAATTTGCCTAGACGAAATTAGAATTTTAATCTTGACTACATATTGTTTGGGCAGAATTGGAATTCCAACTTTGCCTGAGCAAAATTAGAGTTCGACTGGAGATAAATTCACATAATCAAAACAATTAAAACTGAATAGAATACTTTTTTTTATTCAACAATATTCTTCATTTAACTAAACAATTGATAAGACAACATTTCAATCTATTCACCCATATTTGTACAATCACCTCGTTTGAATTGACATTTTGTTGAACAGATAACTTCTACTTTTTACATGACCATTGTTTTGTACCGCACTTGTCTTTAAAATTGCAAGGCCTATCAGTTATTGATGCGCGTACATAAAGTTTATATGCTTCAAATAGTGTAATATTCTTTAAATCATCAATAAGAATTTGTTTTAATTCTGTTGGATAAGCCATTTTTAAATTGATAAGATCTTCAACTGAATATGTATTTTCTAATTTACCACATTGACAACGTGATTCAAAACGAGATGATTTGCAAATATGGATGAATAGATTAAAATGTTTTGTTTTATCAATTGTTTAGTTAAATGAAGAAATATTACTGAATAGGGTGGGGTGTGATTCCTTTTTAAAAGACCCACACCCACACCCACTCTCAAGTCGAACACTTGAAGATGAACATACTCTTGCATCATATGATGATATCGAAAATGGAAGTACCATTTGCATAGTAATATGGCCTAATGCTTCCCGTCAAAAATATCGAGTATGTGTCTCCATTAATACAAATGACGAGAAACGTGAAGTCGTTGAATTAGAGATTTTTTATCATGATACCATGGCCCAAGTCAAACAGGCAATCTATGAACGAACTTCCATACCTGTGGAGAAACAAAGAATTATTTTTGTTGGTAAACAGCTTGAGGATATAACCGTATTTTCTCTAATTATGGTATCCAAAAGGAGAGTACTGTATATCTTGTGATTAAAGATGTGGTGAACCATGCCGAAGATGCGCCACCAACCCCTACACAAGTAATCATGCCGAGTAACCACCGCTATACTATTCTATGATGTTTTTTTAAATTCTATATGAGAATGAAATTTTGGTGATGGTCATATTGCTCGCAAAGTGATATATATATACATATGAAGATACTTTTGAAATTTTCTTTTACACGGTGGATAGAATTTCGTCAATATTACTAGAAGAAGCAAATTTCAATATTATTTTGCTGAATTTTTAATCGTCTAAATCGAAATTTCTCAATAAGGTATCCACTTTCGACGAGAAAGTCGGAAATGAAGGCTAATTTTTTTTCATTTATTACTATAAAAAAAAAATAATTGTTTCATTTGTCGAAATATGTGATTTTCGTGAGATTTTTGTGTGCAAATTAATCGTAAAAACGATGAACGATTCACTATAAATCAGAATGAATACTAGAAATATCGACTTCGATCGAGTATATTTTCTGTGTAACTGAACTAAAAAATCGATTGACTTTGTTTCAACTACTTCAAATTAGATGAAAACTCTTTACCATCATTACGTCGAATCTTGCCGTTGATAACAAGAGAAAACATATCAAGATCTAAGCTTTTAAAACTAGGTTCCATTGTAGGTGAAACACATTGATGGTATATAATCTAAAAATGTTCCTAGCTATTTATGGGATCAAAAGGATGGTGTTTAAAATAGTTAAAGCATATGACAATGTTTTATGTAAATGTACAAAATACTGTGGAAAGACATCTAAATGTATGTATTAGAGACTGAACGAATTTTGCATGAGAGTTCTGGTAGATCTATGGATTGAAAACTTGCATACCACCAAAAAAATTAAATTTTTGAGAGAAAATGCAAATAATTTACATGGAACTGCATATGCTTGATAACATCGGGTTGGCATTGATTATCATTCATGACGCAACTTTGACAGAATATTGGACTATGTAGGTATACAAAATCATAGTATGATCAAAATAAAAGATCAGTCAGCGAGTATCTACTATCATTATCTTCGATTTTGTTTTAAATACTCAAAACCTATTTTGGAAACATAGAAAAATATTTATCAATCTAGTTGATCATTATATTTGTTAAAACTGCCTTGTACCATGGCATAAAGACACAATAGAATAAAACAGAAAACTGTTTATTCAAAATAAGTTTTCCAATATATATATATATATATAATTGTATAACAATCGCGTTCGTGTTGATTAGAAGTTAGTTTTATTGATAATCTCGACCGTTACAATCTTCATATCTTCTTCTAATTGTTTGACGACCATAACCATTACATGAACATCCTGTGCTATATTGACACCATGTTCTGCTACGATGATTACAGCGGGGGAATTCACGTTCTTCATATACTGTTCCGAAACCGCTACATCTGTATGGAAATAATCGAAAACAATGTAATCACATACAAAAGAAGACTAGTTCGAGTAGGAAGTTCCATTCAAAATGATTTGCTAGCAGTAAGATGGCATCTGTCAATAGTATATAGAAATTTATTTAGTATTCAATTGCTGATCTCATGTTTATAGTGACTTGCATATACGGATGATATCAAGCTTGTAACTGTTTTTTAGTAAAAAAAAACCTTTTTCCGGATACAATAAAATGTTCATGTGATCACTTGTTGATTGTTTCCAAACGATTTTACTAGCAATGAATGTATCTAACGAAGACTACTTTTATCGATTCTAACTTTGAAGACTGATAATAAATCCGTTCTGCTTGACAGTTGTCGACTTATCACTGATTATTGAATTAACAAACAATTTATAACAACGTGTTTGTGGTGGTCGAGATCTATTATAATCATGATAACGATTGTTTAGATTTCCTTGTGCCGTACCCATTTCGTTCGAAAAATTTTATTCTGAATGATGGAAAAACCAAAAAAACAGTTAATATTGGTGAAAGAGCAAGAGGCAATCTAGTTTTATTTATATGTATGTGTTGATAAGCTGAAAGAAACCAAATTTATGACACATACGAGCACATTGCGAAATCACAATAGAGAACACACTCCGGCATCATAGAAAAAAATCAATGTGTTGTATATTACGGAAAATCTTGTATATAATGTGTTGATATTTCCTGCACTTGTGAGTGTTCTTGATCTGTCCATCTAATTACGTCAAAGCTAATATCTGTTTGTAGTAATCAATCATAAATGCAACAAAATACAAATAAGAAATGTTGAAAGAATTTGTTTGAGAAGAATACATATGAATTCGAGACTTATTAGTATTACACGATTACTGTAAATTTCAGAAAATGTTGAATCGTGTTTTTTTTATGAATCATAGGTTGATGTTTTAGTTGTTTTTGTGAAAATTGATGGGAATAATCCAATATTACAGCAGAAAGTTAGTAAACATATAACTAGCAATAATAACATTTAATTATAATTTGAAACAAAAATCAAAAGAAATAAGTTTTCGTATTTCTTTCTGAACCAATCTTCATGAGTGACAAAATTAATATGAGAGGAGAAAAAAACTGTTTATATTTAAATGACATCTAGATTTTTACTATTCGGTCACAGTAAATTTGATTACTCATTGTGCACACACATGTCATTTTAAATTTTGTGTCTCTCAATATAAACCGTCATATGCAACTTATTTTCATAAGCAGAGCGTTTCGAAATCAGCAATAATTGACTTTTTCAAGCACGTTCTATGAATGGCAACAGCAAAAATTCGAATTTTGCCATTGATTATAACCAGAGAGAAAATTCGAGGATAAAACAAATAGAAATTAAATTTACTATATTTTTCTGGATAAGATAGGCATTATTATTTTGAAATAACGATTTTATTTTATTTCAGTAAAATATACCATGTACATCAAAATTAAAAACACTCAGAATATATAGATACCATAAAAATTATTAGTAAGATTTTGTTTTCGATGAAAAAAGTCAAAATAAGAACTTTTCAAGATTTTCTGGATATCAAAAGAACCGTCATGTCTTCTAGTATTTACACTATAGAAACCAGGATTATTGACTGAACTTATACAAAGTTACCTGTCAATTTTGAGAGTGGGTGTGGGTGTTGCTGTATATATCAGTTTTTCACTGACAGTGAGATGCCTAAACCCCCCCTCATAATAAAAGACCCCCCCATATTAGAAGACCCCCCGTTTTAGAAGACCCCTCCGGAGGAGTCACTTCATAGAAATTTCTTTTTTTCACCAGCAAAAATTTACAAAATTTACAAAAGTTCGCTGGACCATAATAGAAGACCCGGGGTCTTTTATTGTAGGGGGGGTTTACTCCAACATTCATATTATTATCTAATGACTTTATAATTAAATTATTTTATCCCATGAACAATCCAAACTTCATCCTCATAGGCGTCGTACGAATATTTTTTGTGTAAAAAAGATGCATGATGTTTAGGGGCGTCAGCGTTCCCCGTTCCTTAGCGTTTCATTCCTAGAAACGGGAATGCCTGTCAAAATTGTCTTTTCTAGTTTTGTTTCAACATAGCGAGAATGGAAAACATGTTTTTTCGTCTTTTTAAGTTAGGGCGTTTGGCGTTCCGAAGAACGGGAAACGCCACTGCATTCCCGTTCTTAGAAACTGGGAACGGGAACGCGACACGTGCTCCCTTTACTTTAACGGACGCTTCGGAGTTCATCGAGCAAAAGGCAGCTTACTAAAAATTACGAGTTTTTACAAAGTTTCACCACAGATAATTGGGGTCGAGGAATGTCAATTTGTAATCAGTTTCTCAAAATTTTGAGTTGCACTTTCTTTTCATCCGTCGAAGGGTTTCTTTCTCAAATAACAAATTTTTTATAAAGCTGGACCAAAGGGTGTGGGTGTGCATGTGGCTGTGCGTGTGGGTGTGGGTGTGGGTGTGGGTGTGGGTGTACTTGTACCCGACATTCAGACCCACACTCCATACCCACACCCACACCCACGCTCACACACCCATAGCCACATCCAACCACACCCACACTCACACTCTTTCGATCTTATATATTCGCTTGATTTTAGCTATAGAAACACATTTTCACACTTTTATTCCTTGGTTATGCAGTTGAAACATGTCTACCATTACTACCACCATGTCCTTTATTGTTTCCAATAAAGGTCATCATCTATTGGTAAAAGATCATTTTGTGTACAAAGTCAACAAGCGAACGTCTTTAAAAACATATTGGACATGCACAACAAACAATTGTCATGCACATATTCAAACAGATCTCAATAATAATTTCCTGAGTTCAAGTGGTGAACATAATCAGCTTTTAGAACAAGAAGATCTTCAAGTAAAAAAATTTCGACAAATTGTCAGGAGTCGCGTCATGAACGAAACAGCACCAGTATCAAAAATATATGATGAAGAAATTTCAAAAGCACAGTTTTCACCAGAATTGCTTGCTAGTGTACCACTTATTCATGAAATAGGTATAGTTATATTTTCAGGAGCTTGAAACATCTCTTAATACATTGTTCCTAGAATCTGGTTTGAATTACCCACGACGAAAATTAACACCAATTCTTCCAACATCTGCTGTATTCGATATACCTGATTCATATCACACTACAGCTAGTGGCGAAAAATTCTTATTTTGTGATACATTTATTGGTCGTAAAAAACGCATGTTGCTCTTTGGCAGTCCAAAACAACTTGAATTATTATTTGATAGCTCGATCGTCCTGATGGACGGGACTTTTTCATCAACACCACCATATTTTGATCAAACATTCACACTTCACTGCTTGAAATTCGACTGCAGTACGTATCCGTATTCTAGTTCATAACCATACGATTTTTTTTAATCATACACTTTCCTTGTGTTTTTGGTTTATTACCTGAGAGAAAGAAATCAACTTACCAATGTTTATTTCGAGAACTGAAAAGTGTTGCTGCAACAATGAATCGTGTCTTCAAATCTGAGCGGATAATTACAGATTTTGAGAGTGGTTTAATGCCAGCCATATCTGTTGAAGTAAACTCTATCAGTTTCGTGTATATAAATGTATCTGTTTTTGTTTTAGTTTCCTGAAGCAGTTCATAATGGTTGTCATTTTCATTATAATCAATCGATTTATCGACGCATTCAAAGTTTGGGCTTAGCTACAGCTTATTCAAGTGATGATGAAGTAAGGAGCTGTTGTAAAAAATTAATGTCATTAGCAATGATGCCGCTTCAAGAAGTCGAAACTTCGTTTTACAATTTACGTACAGAAACAAATTCAAGAGTAAAACAAGAACTTCGTCAATTATTTTTATATTTTGATCAATACTGGATGACTGAAGTACCATTAGAAATGTAGAACGTATATGGTTATCAATATCGAACAAATAACAGTTGTGAAGGTATGTCTATTCTTTCAATTTCAATGTTAAATTACGATCTATATACTTAGGATTTCATAGCAGATTCAATCGACGTATACAACGAGCACACGCAAATATTTGGTCATTTATAACATGTCTTGTTGGTGAAGAACGTCAATTTCAACATACACATATTCGGATAACTACAGGTGCTCAACGACGACCTAAATCAAATGCAGCAGATGGTATTCAAAAACGAATTAATGTCCTAAATAAACAGTACAATCAGCAGAAAATTGATGCCGAACAATTGTTAGAAAGTTTGTCGATGTTGGTTGGAAAAAAATAATTTCATTAATTTATCACTTTTTATAGTCAATTTTCATTAGTAATCCATTTGTATTTTTCTTTGTTAATTAAAATAAAATTTTCACTTTTCTGATGTAACATCTAAACAAATATTCTTTCAATATTTCTTTGCATCGGTATTTTTTGCATCGATATTTTTCACATCGATATTTTTTTTTTGGTATTTGTTTTTCAGCATTTATTTTTCGATGTTTTTTTGTCGACATTTTTTCTTTCGGCCTTTTTAAAGCATACCGATTTCTTCTGTGTCGACATCAGAAAATGATGTTCGAATATATTTTTGTGAACAAGTAAATCAACCTATTAATTTTTTGAGTATTAAATTCTGAGAGAAGACAGATATTATTCTGTCAAAAGGAATACATAAACTAAAAAATTCTTCATTTCTTTTTGGTTGGAACATAACTCAACAATATATAACAACATAATATATTTATACTTTACATATCATCTATGAACCACATTATATTCGAAGACAAATAAACAGTAATAAAAAAACACTACCTAAACAAGCATAAGCTTACAGATCCTTCCTTTTTTGGTCGGAGCTTGCTAAGACAAACTAAATTTCAATTGATTAATCTGGATTTAATATAGAATATAATATAGTAGAAGAAAGCAATAAAATGAACGACTAATGGGCTACAATAAAGTTGAAATGAAACTTCTCGAACATCTTTCATCAAAATTGGTCAGAGTTCATCCGACAAATGGAACTTGCGTGACCACTCGTTTATCGTTGTAAAAAATACGAACACGATCGTTTCGCAAGTCAAGAGTCACCGGCATTCCTTCTTTCACGCCAATTACATTCGTGAAACCCGTCTTCTTCTTGATAATCTTGATTGCTTCGTCAACATTCTTGCCAACGACTTCGGGAAACTTTTGTGGTTTGACGCCGCTGGTCTTGCTTTTCTCTGTGGTGCTCGATGGCGATCCTAGAATTAGATATTAAAAATAAATACTACTTCGAGAGTTCATTCAACGCCATGGAATCGACATAATCAGGAAATAACATACTCATCACAGAAGCATAATGTCTCGTAACTCTTCATTACTAATATCAGACGTTCCTCGATGATTGGTTTCTGCACTTTTACTACCTGATAGTTCTGATAACATCTATTGAAGAAAGTAGTCACTGTTGTAGCAATGCACCAACTTTGATAAAAGAATGAAGTTTTGGGAAATTTGAACGGTATTAGCGTAATGAAATCCCGCTATCTGTCAAATTTTAGAGATAAGTCGAATCCTTCGAAATTTATACTGTTCAATATGACGTAGCTCTTCATCGATACTCACATTCGAAAAAGGATAATGGCTCTACTAACTGCTTGTCAACAAAAATAATCTGAATCCAACAAAATTTCTTACTCTGAACGGCTATGACAGGCACATCGATCGTTTTCGTACGATCATTTCCCAGTGGTTTGACGCGAATCATCACATCATTTACAAACAATAAGATTTTTCCATCGTTACTCCTGATGCTAACGTCCATTGAGTAGGTGTGACTTGTTGCCGAATCAGGAAGACCCATCAAGGAGTTGCGACGTTTTGTCGCATTGGCAACATCTTTCGCTGTGTATCGCAACGTGAATGGTACCGGAAATTTCTTCACTCGCAACACCATTGTCTTTGCGACCGTCGTTGCTGGAACATCTTGCAATGATGTGTCTTGCAATTCGACATAGAGCTTAGCTCCACGCTCGATAGGCGGTGGCGTACCCTTGGAAAAAGTCACTCGTCCACGCAGTGTGAACTTCTGGCCATCGGATGCGGCAACATGAACAGCATCTGATTATAGAGAAAAATTAAAAATAATATCTGCTAAGAACAATTACCATTGATAGAAAGCCCGAAGAATAAGAGAAGAAAGACCAATGACGTCTCCATCATATTGTAGTATGAAAGAAATATCCCTGTCGAGAGCCTGATAGTAGAATGGATAGAAAGAAGGAAACGAACGCACGAAGTCAACAGTGTGTTGACTTACTCTTGTTGCTTTTTCTGAGTTGGACGAGAGAATATGGAATTTCCAAAAAAGGTCCTTCGATGTAAATAATATTACTATAGAGAATGAGAAAAGCAACAATTTGGTGCTCTTTCTTTTTCTGTACATATTCTTTTTCTTTTGATAAATAGTGTTGATAACTTGATGACAGATCAGTCGCTTTTACTTTCTCTTGAGATATTGCAGACTGTTCGAAGTGGCTTATGTCTCATCTAAGCATTATGTGGCGATTGTTGTAGACTACGGTATAACAGCAAAATATTTCAATGCGAGGGGATATTATTTCTCACGATTGGTGAATTGATATATTCAAATGAATCATTCATTTTTTTCATCATCGTTACTGTACTAAAAATAGACTATAGCTGCTAAAATCAAGTTTCTTCTGATACTATTCTAGCAAATGGGTTTTTAAAAGAACATTTTTCTCAATACACACGATGTCACATAACCATTATGCCCCCACCACCTAGCAAATTCAATTGTGAATGATATTACAAAATATTAGAGTGTGGGTGAGGGTAAGGGTGAAGTTAGATCTATCACCCTCACCCTCACACCCACCCGCCTCTCATCGGACAGAATCCGACAACGAGTGCTCTTCATTCAATTCTTGACTGGCTTACAGCTCTTCGATCTAACAAAACAACTTAAAAGACGCGTTCCTTGAAAAAATCAAAAAATTCCACATATCGAAAAACATGGGGGTCAACCGATTTTGAATCTGACCTCATATGATTTTAGGCCTCAGTGTACCATATATAAATCCAAAATATTACGGTCTAAAGAGCTACCTATAGTTGGCTAGGACCGATGAACCTGACATACCCTAAAAAATACCATCAAAAAATGCAAAAAATTCAACTTTTAGTTTCGCTGAAGTTTTTCCTTCAAATTTTTCCACGGTTCAAATTGAGTCATATACCAATCGATAGAGCTTCACTTGCTCTACAAAACGGTATATATGACATTTCTCCTCAACCTCGATATTGAAGACAAAAAGTCAAAAAACATTGTTGTTTTTGCATATACGATTTCATGGTTTTTTCAGTATTTTGATCAAATA